TTCCCCAGTGGGGTTGTGGCCGATGTCAAGGCAGAGCTGAGCAGCAGACAGCTTTCTAGATCGCAGTCCATGACTTCACTTCACCCAGAGTGCCAGCAGGGAACACCCCCCTCGGTGCGCCCCTGTCTCTCCTCCTGCCTGATTGGCCTGACTGTGGGGCACCCAGAGTAGAAACGGCACCCGAGACGTCGCGTGACAAGTCGGGCTGGCGCCTGTAAGCGCTCACGCTGCTCCGGAATGGAGCCCCTCCACTGGTGCCTTGTGCGTTTTCATAGCAGCCGCATGCAAATCACACTTGATAGTGCAGGGCTTCTCGAGGGAGGTGGGTATGAAAAGAGAGCAGGGGAACAGAACCGCGCAGGACAGTTTTGGCGCAAGGCCTTTAAGAACGGAGTGCATAGACGATGAGTTATTCAAACGGCACTCCTTAGATGATCACGCTATTAGAAGAGCCTTAATTAGCCCCTCCTTGCCAGCCCTCCTCCCCTGTAGTATACTGCTCCAGCAAAAAAAAAAGAATTATGCGCTTTATTTTGGCTTCTGCAGAAGAAAACTGAACAGCACCAGTTACTGCAGCACAACTGTGGAGCCATTTGTACTGCCGGAGTGCTGCAGTCCCCTTCACCTCCTGCAGCTTCTGCTGTGCCTCTGCCCCAGTCCAAAACACTGTATTCTGCTGAGTGCACATCTGTATTACTGTTTTAAGGAAACGTTGCTATGACTTCTCCATCTCCCTTCCCTGCTTCGTATTACTGTGCTCTATGCACACCTTTCCTTTGGTCACCTTGTCTCACCCCCCCCCTCTACATCCCTTCCTAATCCTCTTTTACTGTTCAGGATACCCTCATTTACATATGTGTTAATTAGAACTGTTTTGCTCAATCCAGGTTTAAGCATAGCCAAGGGCTGCCTTTAGTCCCTGATGTGTCCTGGGGCCACTGGACACCTTAAAGCAATTGGCATGAGGAGTGGTTTACTTGGTTTAAAGTGTTTTGATGGCTGAAAATATTAGAATAGATGTATTTTTGGCATTTTAGGTGCACCTTGTTCCATAACTCTGAACTGCCCCATCACTGACCCCCAGAACCTGCTGGCAAATTGCCTTCTTTAAAAAAAAAAAGAAAAAATATTTTCAATCCATTCTGCATCTACATCAGTACTGAAATTAAAGACTCCCCCTGTTGTGCAGCACGTCAGGTTTCCCAGAAGCTTCAGGCTTTATGGAAATGCCCGCACCAGGTGCAAGACGCGTAATGAGTGTGACTTTATAGTGGTTGAACCTGCATATGCAAACACCTGGCCTCAGTGCTGAAAGAACTTGTTTTCCGGCTTGTTCATGAACGTATCTCCTGAAGCTGCTACATGCTGGGAGTCTTTACTCCTTACAGTCTTTACACCAATGCACACACTTCCATGTTAAACTGCCCAGTTGCTGGCAATTATTGTACCTAAGAGAGAACTCCGAAGCTTGCTTTAGCCTTAAACTGTTGCCAGTGACTAAAACTTGCCTGTGGCTGACCATCATCTCACTATTTCAGGCTGCCGATTGGCTCATTAAACGAGAGCTCTGTCTGCAAAGCAGGAAAACCCATTCTAAAAGAAAATCATAGCCTGTTGTGCCTTGTGCTACTTCTCAGAGGTATTATTCCGTTTTCACTGAGTAACGCCCCGCTTGGCTGTGTTAGTCAGAGGGATTACTGCTGCATGTTTGCAGTGTACTTGCTCAAACCCCTGCTGTATTTTCATAAGGAGCCTCAAGGCAGACAGTGTGACACAGCACCAAGCACAAAACGGAGCAGGTACAAACCACACCTGCTTTTAGTTCTGTAGGGAGCTGAAGTTCTGACTAGAAAATGTTATCATTTGTAGAGGTGGGAGGGGCGGTAGCTGTTTAATTTCACTTAACTGTAACATCTTAGTGCCTGGTTTTAGGCTGCTTCGCACTTTGCAGCTTAGAAACCGTAGTGTTTGTGGGCCTGGGAGTGGGGGTGCTTCTCTTCACAGCCATGCAGCCAGAGAAGTGATCAGGAGGAGCACAGAGGTGGTGTGTCTTGGGGTGATGGCCAGGACTCCTGTGCTCAGGCAGTGCCACGGCTGATGTCTGTGTTCTGTGCTTCATGTGGACGTTCTCACATGGGATTGGGGGGGGTTGAAGGTCAGTTATGTGTAAAAGATTGCCCCTGAGAGCAGCGGTAACACCCCTCTCCTCTTTGCCCCCCCTCAAAGCCTTTTCACTCCGGCGCCACATGGCTGGCAGGGACCTTGTTATACACAATTGGACCTGATTAGGTGCGCAGTTGTGAACCTCAGTATTAGTAAAAATGCTGCATTTGTTTGAGTTCAGAACAGAGACGTGTGATTTGGGATCAGGGCAGCGCAGCGAATGAAGACCTTTGAAAAAGAATCTCTGGAAGGGCTTGTCTGTCCCAGGTTTTTTTTTAAATCCCGGTTATTGAAAGAAGGCAGGGCTGGACTCCGAAGGTCCAGCGGCCCAGGACGGCTCTTCACTGTCCTGCCAGCCGGAGCTGTGCCAGCAGAGATGCCGGGGGCCTGACTGGGGCCCGTGCCCCAGGGCTGGCTGATCCCTCTGGTGCACAGCCGCTCCTGTCGCCTGTGCTTTCCCGAGCCTGCGGGGCACTCGGAGCTGGGGGCGGCGTGTTTTAATTTACACCGGAGTGTGAGCTCTGTAGATCTGCGCTGCCGGGTCTGGGCAGGGCTGTGCTGTCACGCCTGCAAGGGTGGGTCTGGCCTGCGTCTGATGGAGTTCGACATTTCCAGCACAGGGTCACAGCTGGGATCGCAGGAGGGGTTGAGGTCACCTCTCAACTTTCTTGTTTCAGGTTCCTATGCATCTCATTCTTTAGCATTGAACCCTCCCCCCAGTCATTTCTCCCTTTAAGGCCTAAATCTGTGTTATTGTGTAAACGAATACACATTATTTTGTTTAGGAAGGTTTCCTTGGAGAGAGAAATGCCATTGTTTTTCTTGCTGTACAGCATTTACAAGCAGACTTGTGAGTCTAGACAGGTCTCTCTGTACTCATGGAGAATATTCAAGTGTGATTAGGACGTCAAATGATTGTGTTATACAAACTGTGCATGCATTGAATTATTAGATACATAAAATTAAGTTAGATATGTATTCCAAAGATGAGGAGAGATAGAATAATGATCTAGCTCCAGTGACTCAAAAGGAAAAAAAAACAGTACACCTTGAATGAGACCATGATGGTTTTATTTTCAGTGGCACACAATTGTCTTTGAGAGACCATCTCTGTCCAGTGTGCACCTCGATTCCGCAGTCAGTCTCGTCACTTGACCGCAGGCCTGCCAGGCCAGAAGCCCAGATTTTTAATGAACTGGACCAACAAGCTGTGAAAGTGTTAAATAAACGGCACGGGGTAAATTTCTATATAGGCCTAATTGATACTGTAGATGTCACGGGTCATGTCCGAATGTCTGTAGAAGTGCATCGATATTTTAAGTCCGTGCGTAGAGTAAACCTGAATTTTGGAAAAAGCCGGGAGGCCGCGTTTGTTAATCCGGAAGTTGTCTCAGCGCGATATTGCCACCCAGCGGCCGTTAAGCAGTACTACAGCCCTGGAGTCGGTCAGCACTTTCCTAGTCCAGGGTGCCTGGAGGTTCTTTGTAACAGTTTGTAGTAGTAGTTGGTACTACTAAGGATTTAATATTTAAATATTTTTTGTGCAAGTACTTGGTTTCCACGAGTTTTTTAAACGTCACTATCCCGAGGTGTATTCCCCCAGATTCTCTTTAACAAACAGAAATATACAATGAAGAAACGGAGGCTTTGGCCATCCTGTTATCCAGATGTTAGTATCAATAGTCATTACTGTTGATATCCTGTATTGTAAGCAGGGTGAGTTCACTAATTTGTGAGGTATGTAAGATATTGGTTATTAACCCAAGTATTCATCAGAAATACTCGGCATGTTTTCACTCCAGCAAAAGGGAGATAAGATGATCTAGTGTATACGTTTGTTTGATGGTAACAGGGTGCTAGTATTTATGTCCCTAACAGTGGGTATATTTCAGTGTTTTGTGGTACCTTCTGCCATGATGGCTGTGGACTTGTAAGAGAGCGAAGTAGCTTTAAGCAGTGATGAACGTTGTGGATGCAGGTTTAGGGGCGGTAAGCAGAACTGTCCTCTTCTGGCTGCCTCGGTGGAGTATGATGGAAGATCGGCGGGCTGGTGCTTAAAGGCTGTGTCTTCTTGGTGCCTTTCAGCCTCGTGTTTTCTTAGGCTCCTGACCTCCTGCTGTTGCACTGGCAGGCAGCTGGCGGAATCCGGCGGTGCTCAGGCTGCTAGAGGCTCCCCCTGCTGGCCGGGGTGTGGACTGCAGCCGCAGCCCTTCCTGCCTGCAAGAGCCTCCAGCTTCACAGCAGTCTCATCGTGGGTGTGCTCGGCCGTAGGAGGCCACGGTGTTTAGTCAGAGCCCACCTCCTCTAGCCTGGGTTTTAGATCATGCCTTCTGAGTTCTCGTGAGCTGTGCGCTGCGGGTGCCCAGTGGATGGTTTATTACGACAAAAGGATTTCTGATTGAGGCAGCCTCGGCATAAGACATAGGCCCTGTCCTTGTCCTGGCCGGCCAGAACTGTACGCTCTGTCCTCTGAGAATAATCTGTTAACAGGAGACTCCGGGGTTCAAGGTTCCAGGGTTCTGTTTATAAATTGTTTGAAGCCGATGCGAGTCAACCTAATGCAATGGGGTGTGTATTGCGTCTCCACCCTTGGTAATCCATCGGTGGCATGGTAGTGTCGGTATACATGTAAAGGGAGAAAGGCCATGCTTGTTAAGTGGTGTCTGTTTGTGAAGTGGCCATATTAAGATGACTGTGTGGGACCAATGTATTCTTTAACACTGGCTCCACTATAAATAACACTTGTCAGGGGCTTTGCCCACTTTCTCTGGGGGGGCAGGCTGTTTGGCCCTGATGTACACTGTATATCTTGTACCGTACTGAAGGCTAAAGTAACAATCACAGATCAGGCCCTTAAGCTGTTTTTTTATTCCCCTCCATACCTTCCTACACCAGACTATTGCCTGATATGCATCATGTTTATCAAGGTTTAGTAAGACCACATGATTTCTTGCGGTGAAGTGCAGCACGATCACAATCAGATGTTGTAACGCGTAACGCAATCAAAG